ACTGTGTGATATATTTCTTTAGTGAACTAAATCTCTCCTTTAAGGTTCCACAGGTCATTTATAAAGGAGAAAAAGGCAAGATATTTCCGTCAAAATTAAATCAGCTTGCAGAATAAATTTTGCTCATAAAATTCAAATGCCTCATAATCCGCTTACGTAAATTCGTAGGAAAAGATTAGCAAAGGATTTCTAAAGCATTTTCTGTAAAAGCGTTTTATCTTTTGGATTTTTAGTGCAACTTTGCATCTTCTAAATTGAAATTGAAAATAAAGATGTTTTGCAGTTGCTGACCTGAAATCTCATATTACCAAAAAAATTGGAATAGAATTAGGCTTTTATATTGCTTAAGAGAAAAATAAAATATTATCATATTAATAATCTGATTTTATTCATAATAACTCCTGAATTGATAATATGAAACATTCATAAGGTATCTACAGACTATATCCTTTGCGTGGTTTTATGTTTTTGAACAACTAAGCTGAAAAGAAAAATTTCAAAAAAATGTTCTACAAACTCAGGTACGAAGCAGACAAAACCATTACCACTCCAAATATAAATTTTAATGCTGATTAAATATAACGAGGCCAGAAATACATTTTCTCTTTGTTAAAGTTAGGGCGAAACATGTAGCTAGTTATTTTAAAGTTGCCGTATGTGGTCGGGCTGTTTTATTTTGGAGATTATCTATTTTCATATTTCAAACACAGCCTCTAGTTTGTAAATAGTGTTTTGCATTTGAAACATAGACTGGTATTAATACTTTTTTAAATTGAGGTTACGTACATCTAAGACTTCAAGTTCCGCATAAACATTTTAATTTCAGTTATTAGAGGTTTGGTGCGTTAATAAGCTCCATAAACAACATTGGATATTTTCCAAAGTCAATGTGCCGCATTTATTCTAAGCAATATATACTGACTATCTTGAGTATCTTTGATTGCTGAAAAGCAGTTCAAAGTTGATAAAGTCAAATAGACCGTCATGTCCAGAGGTACTAAATATTAGAAAAAAAGTCCACACGCTCATAGGGAAACTTTTCTTCAGTGCGACTTCATTCTGTTAGACGAGACATCAGATTGTATCAAAATCATTGACCAAAACTAGCTTTTAACATTTTTATTTTTTTTCAGGGTATATTCTTTGGTTGGATTTTGACTAACGGTTTTCAGTTATTCCTCTAATATTATGAATTATCTGTGAGAACAAAAAGAGAACCTTCAGTTGCAGCCGCTCAACCACAGAATCCATGCTGTCCACGATTGAAAAAATCGTTGCCAGAAATGATCCTAAACCTTCCACCAATTGACCTTATCGTCAAAGCGGAGACTAGACTCAGGGCATTTCGTCTCCAGCTAAATGAAAACTGGAACCCAAAACCAAATGGCAATCACCAAAATAATCACAAACCGGATTTCAACCATGGTAAGCGACTATACGATGCAGAAAGAATCCCTCAAAAAACCCTTTGCCATCGAGATTGTTCCAGTAGGAAACGCCGGGATAACGCCAAAACATGAAATTGTCTGGTTTACTAACGGCTCCAAAGCAGGAACTGGAACCGGTTGCCAGGATATATGGTCAAACTCCCAGTATTCCAAGCAGAAATCTATGCCATTGACTGCTATCTGAGAAAAAACCTAACGAGGGGATACACAGGTATAAACATCCCTATCTGCTCAGAGAGTCAAGCGTCGATCAAAGCACTCAACAGTTGCGGAATATAATCCAAGCTCATCTGGAAATGCTTGGAATGCTCAAAAACCTTAGTATGGCCAACAAGGTAGCCCTTAAATGGGTGTCAGGTGTCAGGGCATAAAGGAGTTGAAGGAAATGAAAAGCAGATGCTCTGGCATGGGAAGGATCGGCAACCAGTTATACTGGCCCTGAACCGACAATTGGCACCACAAAATCTTCGGTAAGAACAGAAATAAACCAATGGGTGTATAGACAACACCAAACTCGCTGACAAACTCTTCCAAAGCTCAGACATAGTAAACTAATGGTACAATAATTGCCTAAACTTACTGAAGGGATCCTACAGGCTAATAACTGGACTCATAACCGGACACTGTAGCCTGAAAAGACACCTTCACACAATGAGCATCCTCCAAGAAGAACCCACATGCAGACTTTGTGACGAGAAGGATGAAGCCACTACCCACATTTGGGCCTCAACCCAGAAATCTATTTCCCTAGTTAAGTACTTAGAGAACTAATAATTATCTTCCCTCCAGCGCCTCCGATACCATCCGACCCCTGCAACCTTACACCTTGTACACATCATAGTCAACCTGTATGCTCCTGTTTGCCTGGCTATATCGGTGCCCCACCATCCTGTAGACCTGAATGTATATCAAGCGTAGAATGTCCCTTGAACCGCGCGTGTGTAAATCAAAAATGCATGGAAGCGTGTCCAGAAAGTTGCGGTATAGAAGCGGTTTGTCAGGTTGTCAATCATAATCCGATCTGTAGTTGTCCCCCGAGATACTCTAGGGATGCAGAATCGTTTCTGGTATGTTTGTGGTTATTTATTTTGAATTTTACGACTTGATTTCCAATAAATTAACAGAATTTTCCAGATTTTTCAGGTTATTGCTGCTGAAAATACATTTTATACAGCTTTGTAATTAAACACTAAGGCCCGGTTTATTCATCTTCAAATAAACTTGTTGGTAACTATCTACAAGATAGACAAGATCCTTCGAATATGAAGTTTTACGCTGGTGGAGATACAGGCAGATAGGACCAGAAGACCCTATCTCTAAACTCACCAAAATCCACACTGTTCCTAAACCTCATCAAGGTCACGAAACTTTTCACTGACTAAACAGACGAACAGGATAATACAATAAGCCGACGGCTGCAGTGTTGGGGCCACCTAACCCGGCCTGTTCACCCTGTATTGCAACCAACCAACTAATTGATAATAATCTCCTGAAAGTCTGACCTAAAGCCAGGGGATTGAGAGTAAGAAAACTGCAAACTGGAGAACTATCAACCAACCAACCAATTAATAATGATAATAATCTCTCGAAAGTCTGACCTGAAGCCAGGGGATCGAGAGTAAGAAAACTAAAAATTAGAGAACCATTGGAGCACTATCAACCAGATATTATGGCTCTGCAGGAGAACAAGATGAGAGATGTTGGAAGAACTTTTTTCAGAAAAGACGAGATGAAATGTTTCAACCAGTCAAATGCTGCTGGTGAAGTAGCAAAATCTTTTCAACAGATGGAACCAAGAAACCGGAAGACTCCTTTAGATGATGTTTCCGAGATAAGGACAAACACTTTAGAGATTGAGAAAAAAAAACCCGCTACAATAATTGGTAGACAGAGCGAGCCTACGATGAGAGGATAATCGGCTTAGGCGCTTCCCAAGATGAGACAGATATAAGTAAAGGCTTCATGGCAAAATAGAAACCTTCTGTGAACTAGTGATTTATAACACTGCGCAGTTGGAACTGCCTACAACCTTGCAGTGTTGCATTTTTTAAGAGCATCAGGAATTAACAGTGAAAGGCCAATGCCAAGAAGGACAAAACAGATAACTTCCTAGAGAAGTTGAGTCATAGTTACAGAAAATAGAAAAATTAATTGGCTAAGCCAGCATGGTGCAAGACTAGAGTTAGAACTTAATGAAGTTAGAGCCAAGTACTTATTAATCACACTACGTGACAAATTCCGGAACATCTGAGATGAGAACAGAAGGAACCATCATTACACCATATCACGGGATGAATATATTCCGATAAAGACATAGCTAAAGCATTCGCAGATAGTTAAGAGCTGGAAGGCCATTCAAATGAGCTTGAGATGAGATTGACCGATACGCCGACAGCTTAGGTGAACTGGAAATGAAACGAAATAACGTAGATAACTACCAGAAAATCACCTGACTCCCTAGAAAAGTTAGATCATGGGAGGGCTCAAAGCCAAGACATGACGCAATTTCCAATAAGATAGACCTTTGATCTTTTGCAGACCTCCTCTGCTTTCCTTTTCAGCTAACAACCTACTTTGTATGAGCTGAGACGTTGAAATGGATTGATGATTCAACCTTAACAGTTCTAACGGCCGGAATTGATAAGTCCCGTGAAAATCATGGTTAAGTGTTCAAAAATTACCTTTTGAGGTAAATTACCATTAGGTACCATTACCACTGATATGACATATCTACTAAAAAATAATAATATACTTCATTTATTTTCGTAATATTGTCGTATCTAGGATAATAGGGTACCTCCTTTCGGTAAAAAAAAAACTCACTCGTCTTCCAAAAAAGTTCATGGATTACAGGAAGACCATCGGTCACGTTACATGTAAATAACATTGCAAGTTGAACGAATTATTAAATTATTAATTTGTACGGACATGGAACTGAAATCCATAGAAGGTCAATGTCGACGCCAGGTCATCGGCAGTTATTGTAATTAGAAATCACGTACCATGGTGGCTCGACTAGCATAAAATAAGGTAGTTTTGGAAGATGAGTTATCAGTCTACAGAGAGTGAATTATCCGCGTTAGTAGTAATAGTGCCTTTTAGTCTTGTGACAATTATTAGTGCCCATGCCCAGAACTGATATGAATTTGTGGTAAGCTTTATTTAAATATATACTTTCCTATTTTTGTACTCGGCTCTAGCTTTGATTTACACCCCTCATAACCCCCAGGTCCGACAATATTATACACATTTCACTTACTTTACTTCTGCTTATTTTAAAATGCTAAAAATAATTTTGCTTATTTTGTCATTTGAAAGTAAAGTTTCAGGTATAGAAAGTTTACTTTGCCCGAAACCATTATTTGAAGAACATTTTTCTCGAACATCATCCGATTGCGCTTATATAGAGAAATATAAAGCACATTCATTTATTTTATGCAAGGACAAAAATCCCATCTTATTCTCTATTTATAAAATGTCAAAGCCTTCCGCCGTTATACGAGACAACAGTTTCGCGAACAAAAAAAAGCACAGAGCTAAGCTAAAGCATACCTAAAATTCCCAGTCTGAAGTTTAGTGTCACAACAATGACCTGTCCGAAGGCTGCCAGAACGCTGCCGTCGTAAGGATTCCCCGAATTCCATTCAAATGATTCGCCGTGGAGAAAAACTATCACCGGGTATGTTCGGGAATTCACCTGGGGATCTGAAAAGTAATGAAACGGTTAAAAAAAAAAAACATTCCAATAGAATTTTTCTATATTTAATTGATGCAAGATGAACACAACCATTACTAACTACAATATGTTGAAGTTGTAGATTATTTAACAAATATAACATTAACAACTTATTGTGTTTAACAACAAGAAATTACTTGTCAACCAATAAAACTTAGGTAATGACGTCTTATTCAAAAAGCGTGATGGTCCACAGCTTTCATAACTCTATAACTTATCGATTACCTACGGATTTGGTCTAATTTAATATGGGACCTTCTCCAATTTAATGCAAAATCACATAGCCCCACTTATTCATCAATTATTTCTTTTTGATTTATCTTTCCCATTAGGCGATTATTTATTTGCCTAGTTATGGATGAAGTTTTACTAAAGGTCTCAATAATTAATTATTTTTCTCTGTCAGAATAGCGGGGACATATTTCATACACGCACAAATTGTTCTATTCCTCATTCTAAAGCAGGAGAAATTCCTAATTAATTACGAGAAGCCTTATTTCAGTGACGTTGGGATTTCTTTTCTTAAAACTATTCTACTTTCATTCCTTATCGGCAAGGTTGCCTAGAAAATTAATTTAATTTTCTTCTTTTACTAGAAAGTATTCAATTTCGTAATAGGGGCGGAATTTTTAGTAAATTCTAATGTATCCTGTAAAGAATATGCATTGGATTTTTTCCGCAGTTGAAATATGGTACAATTGTACAGGGTGATCTATTATAAATGTCACCCCCTTCTAACTTTTTCCTTTGACATTTTTGACAAAAGTCTCAAATACAAAAGTTTTAAGAAATTGTCGAAAATACTGTTTCCGGCACTCGTTAAACAATATATCATTTTGATTGTACAGGGTGATCTATTATAAATGTCAGCCCCTGCTAACTTTTTCATTTGACGTTTATGACAGAAGTTTCATATACAGATGTTTTAAGAAATTATCAGAAGTTTTTAACTAAGTCAGTTTTAGGCATACAGGGTGCGCCAAAAAACTGCAGCAGAGTGAAGTTATATTTTTTTAAATGGAACACCCTGTATATTGTGCGCTTATTTGTTAGTCCCTTTCAACCTGATTTCAACGATATACTACTTCAATAGTTATAGCGAAAACACATGAAAACCCCTTTCCAGGTTTCATGTTGAAAGAAGAAAAATTATACCATTTAAGTTTTAGAGATTTTTTTTTATAAACAGTATATGGTTCAAATTTTATTCATTAATATACAAGGTGAAATATAATAATAAAACCAGATGTCCAAGTTATTATTATTTTTTTAAAAAAAAATACATGAGAGACCTAGGAAGGGATTTTCGCGTTTTCCCCTAAAATACACTGCTCCACTTTTTTTGACGCACCTTGTATGCCTAAAGCTGACTTTGTTGAAAACTTTTGACAATTTTTTTAAACTTCTGTATTTGACACTTTTGTCAAAAACGTCATATAAAAAAAAAATTAGCAGGGGATGTCATTTATAATAGATCACTCTGTACAGGGTGTCCAAGATTCGATGGTTTTAGCGGGTTTCCAGTATTTCTAGAGGAGTTCGAAAAAATCTGACCCCCACTTGCGAGCCCCGATTTTGAAGAAAAATTGACCGGTGAAACCCGCATCTCTATATCTCGATTCGTTTTTAAGCTACAAAAAGTTATAGACCCTCTGCCAAACTTGAAACTTTTCAAAAATTCCTCGTAGCATAAAAACGACTCGATATTTCGAGATGCGGCTTCAACCAGTCAATTTCTCTTGAAAATCGAGGCTCACAAGTGGGGATCAGATCTTTTCCAACTTTTTAGAAATACCCGAAGCCCCCCAAAAACCATCGAATCTTGGACACCCTGTAGAATCAAAATGATATATTGTTTAACGAATGACGGAAACAGTATTTTTTTTTGCAACGAGATAACAGTTTACCGAAGTCGAGTTTGGTAGGTAATATTTTCAAGTTGTGAAAAATGTTTTTTGACGAGTAAAACACTATCAAGTAATCCATATGCTTTTTCTATGACCATGTTTTGCTATAGAAATCAAGTCAAAGTTTTTTACCTATGGTTTCTACTTGGTGTGATAGGTGGCGCTTGAAAACGTGAATCAAGGCGCCATCTATCAATCAATTTTCTCGTTTTTGCGATAAATCTATAACTATATTTTGCTTTTATTACATTATATAAAGCAAAATTTACATAATTATGTGATGAACTATGTTTTTTCATTAAGATTTACAGAATTAAATTATAATTGGATTTGAAAGAATTTATTTAGCATGTAGAATTGTAATCATTTACTTTGGTCACTAGTGACGAAAGTTAATGTTATGAGATATTCTAGTGACAAAAATGACGTTTTCGGCTAAGGTAAAATATGACGAGTTGCTTATTTTTAATGGTCAAAGAAAAATGAAGTTTTCGCATCTTCTTGGTCTAGCTTGAAAAGCCATAGAAGTAGTACTATGAGATTTCAATAGTCGATACTGTTTTACGCTAAACTATATATATCTTTGAAAACATCCGGAAATCCAAACTTGAAGGAAGAGTTATATGTTGGTTTCAAAAAACGTTTTAGATATTTTATTGGATACATTTTTTTCCAAAAATAAGACACTTGCATACAGGGTGATTTACTTAGCCCGTGCATTAGAAGTTTTCCAGTTTGCAGGCTTTTTGGTAGAAATAGCACCTAATCCACCTGCAAGCTGATGCATCGGCTACGTAAATCACCTTGTATAATAAAAACACTGATGACTGAAAGGTGTTTGTGTTTTAATATAATCAAGTAGGTAATTCTTCAGGCTTATAGCCGTCTTCCCTATCTTATCTCTTTACGTTGATGATTTATTTTTGAGAAAATAGAAGCTGTACTTTTGATGCATTATTTCCTTATTTCATTTAACCTGGAAAACGTCATAATTAATTTGAAAAACTCTTATCTTCCCAGACAATGATTTTTCAACCTGCCCCCTTCCTTCGCTTGGGTGCTTTTTTCGAGGAGACATTTTATTTAATTACCTTCGTCAGGTATAAAACGTTTCAATGCCATTGTGTCGTCGTCGTCGTTTCTAAATCCCAGGCATTGTATATTTATGAAGAAGAAAAAAAGCTATTCTAGAATTTTCTCAAAGAGCAGGTATTCTTATTTTGTGATTTTTCATTCTTACGGGATCAATGAAATTATTTCAATTGTCCTTTGTCTGGATGGCATTAAACATTAAAACTTGTAGAGGCGTTTCTATTTTATTTATATTAAACTTTGAGCATATCAAATTTCTCTGACGAATGCATATATTGCCTTATCCCTGTAACGTTTTTGTTAAAGTTAGTTATGGATCGCATTTATGCAGAATGCAGATGATGTCCATAGAGAAATGTTGCCAGCGACAGTTAACGTTAGTACGCTAAAAATCCTAAATGAAAAGAAGTTTTGTTAAAATTGAATAAAGCTGTTTTTGAAAGCTCAGTGGTTTTATCGCCTTTCTTTAAAGCACAATACAAGAGGTTATGGAGCTCACGCAGTTTGCAAGGCTGAAAATTAAATAAAAAGTTGAGGGTAGCAGGTGACCAGGAAGAAATTTAAAAAAAATATATGGTTGAAGCAACAATAATTATTACCGTAACGAATTACTAAAAAATAATTATTGAGCCTGGAAATTTAGAGGGTGTTGCTAGGGGAAAAAAAGAAGTGGCAAAATGGATTGATTATGATAATGAATTTTATTATAATAGATAAATAGTCTTCAAAAAAGACAATATCAAAGAGGACTTTGATTACGAAAACGTATGTCCCATTCTTCTTCTTCTAGTCTGTTTCCGTCCACTGCTGGACATAGGCGTCTTCCATCATCTTCCATCGGTTTCTGTCTTGGGCCACTAGGCTCCAGTTTTTTTCCGGCCACTCTTTAAATGTCATCACGCCACCTTGTTTGCGGTCTTCCCGTCTTCCAATGTTTTTTCTTTGACTCTCGTGGCATCCATTCCATGACTATTTTGGTCCATTTGCTATTATCTTTGGCTACATGACCTGCCAAGCGCCATTTCAACCTTGTCGCCCGTACCACTGCATCGTCGACTTTTGTTCTCTGTCGAATGTCTTTATTTCGCACCCGATCTCTGAGCATTGCTCTTTCCATGGCGCGTTGACAAACTCTCAACTTGTTAGCACTTGGATGTGTCATAGTGACTGTCTCGAAACCATAGGTCGGTACTGGTAAAATATATGTTTTGTAGATCTTGCGTTTCAGACTAATCGGGACGCATATTAATTTTTTGCCAACGTAATAGGACCTTCGGCTGCATTCGTGTTCGTTCGAGCACAGCGTAGGCGAATTATGATTGAAGTGGACTAACGTTGGCAGTTTAGAGCCTGCCTGGCGTTCGGGAAAATATTCTCTAAATAAATTAAGTTGGAAAGTGGCAATTATTGTTGAAGAAATACCTTTATTAAAAGTTTAAAAATTAATCATTGTGTCTATTCAAAGGCCCTAGAACTTTTTTGGTAGATTTGAGTTAGTTTCGGTTGGTTTGCGTTAGTATGGGTTATTTTTGGTTGGTTTCGGTTAATTTTGGTTAAAAAACCGCACTAGGCGCTGGTCCTTTCTATTTCCTTTTTTCAAGCAAAGAAATGAGAAGTACCTAATCCAAATTAACCCAAAATGACCCGTGCTGGAAATGCGGCCCAATTTCTGTTTCTGAAGCTGATCAAATAGCGAAAAAAGAGCGCGTATAAAAAATAGAGCGCATGTATGTATTATTAAATTTTGAATAAATAGGTATTATGAGTTACTGAAGTTGGTTTCTCTGACGTTGTGCTACAGAAACACAGTTCAGCTGAACATTTATTTTACAACAAAAAGAGAAAAAAATATCTTTTGTATTTTGAACTTTTCATATTTTCGATATTTTGCATTTTCGACATTTCTCAATTTTCACCTTTTGCATTTTCTTATTTCATTTTTTTTAGCTCACACTCAATAAAATAATTAG